AGTATGAATTCTTTCATGAATTAGAAGATGAGTGTGAGATACAAATGATTTCTCACACTGATTACATTTGTAGGGCTTCTCTCCAGTATGTGTTCTTTTATGTATTCGGAGATGACTCGGTTGTGAAAAGGGTTTATCACATTGATCACATTTGTAGGGTTTTTCTCCAGTATGTATTACTTTATGTGTTCGGAGATGACTGCTTTGTGCAAAGGCTTTTCCACATTGATTACATTCATAGGGTTTCTCTTGAGTATGTGTTCTTTTATGTATGGCCAAAGTAGAATGATATGCAAAGGCTTTTCCACACTGATTACACTCATAGGGTTTCTCTTGAGTATGTGTTCTTTTATGTATTGTCAAAGTAGACTGATGCGCAAAGGCTTTTCCACATTGATTACATTCATAGGGTTTCTCTTGAGTATGTGTTCTTTTATGTATTGTCAAAGTAGACTGAAGTGTAAAGGCTTTACCACATTGATTACATTCATAGAGATTCTCTCCAGTATGTGTGCTTTCATGTAATCGAAGAGTCCGGCGTTGTGAATAGGCTTTATCACATTGATTACATTTGTAGGGTTTCTCTCCAGTATGTATTACTTTATGTATTTGGAGATTACTCTTTTGTGTATAGGCTTTATCACACTGATTACATTTGTAGGGTTTCTCTCCAGTATGTGTTCTTTCATGTCTTCGAAGAGACTTGGGTTGTAAAAAGGCTTTATCACACTGATTACATTTGTAGGATTTCTCTCCAGTATCTCTTCTTTTATGTATTTGGAGACTACTATGACATGCAACTGCTTCACTCTGTTGAAAGCCTTCAGAGGGTTTCTCTCGAGTTTGAATTCTTTCATGCTTTGGAAGATGACTGTGATATGTGAAGGCTTTATCCCATTGTGGATATTCATAGGGTTTCTCTCCAGCAGGACTTCTTTCATGTCTGCAATGATAATTGGAATATGTAAAAGTTTTATCACATTCATTAAACTAATGAATCATTTTTATCTGTCAGAATTAATTTTACACTGGGTGGTGGTGGGGCATGCCTTTAATCCCAGTACTTGGGAGGCAGAGGCAGGCGAATTTCTGAGTTCGAGGCCAGCCTGGTCTACAGAGTGAGTTCCAGGACAGCCAGGACTACACAGAGAAACCCTGTCTCGAAAAACCAAAAAAGAATTAATTTTACAATTTGGTCTAATTGTAAAGTAGAATCAGATCTTAA